AGGCGAAAAAGACCAAAATTACAAGTTTTTTCAAGGTTTTGACCTTAGCCACATAAAATGATCAACCCTAGGGACCATTTTTGCAATTTTTTCAAAAAATAATGTTTGATAAACTTGCTAAATACGTAAATTAACATATAAACGATTTAGTTTTTATAATTAAAAAGGTATATTTTGGAGTAAAAAAAACTCAATAAACTCTTTGAAACACTAGTATGTGTAGCTTTTAAAAAAACAATTTTATAAGTTGCTTTTTTATTTGTCAAATATGACAACCTAAAAAAGTTCAAAAAATAAGTTAGACGTAGCTTAACAAACATAACCATTTACGTTTTAAAGTTCAAAATTAGCTAAAGTAGACCCAACGTTTTTTAATTATGTTGAATTAGTCACTACAACCGGATATCTCATGTTCTCCAAAGAGATCGTCGATGTTCAATGGAATTAATCGGTGTGATGATGATTAATCACAAACAATACAATTATTTTTAATGATATATTTTGATTCATATTATACTTGGTAGTAAAAATTGGTTTTTATTATGTACAATTAAGTTCAAATGAACTTAATTATAGTCGTGGTTACCTAAATTATTTGGGTGTTTAATCCACTCTCGTGGATAGTATGGTTGCAAAATAATTTACTTTTCATGTAAATGTCTTTTTCTAACTCGTTGCTGGTAGAAATTGTAAGTCTCGTATCTCGTGTACGAGATGGGTGCAAAGTTTTTTATTTTTTATGTAATTGTCTTTTTCTAGCTCATTGCTAGTGGTTTTAATAAATTTCAGTTGTTCATAAAGAAAATCCAGTCGTTCGTTGGGTTTAGTGTTTGTTTATAAATTCCTTGTGATATTTTGGGTTTGGTGTTTTAGTTTTATCTATGGTTGTCAAATTGCGTTTTTAAATTGACTAGTTGGTATCATTCTAGTTTAAGTGTTTCATTTTTATTTGTAGTTCCTTGTAATCATTCTTGATTAAACCTCGCTCTATATGATATTTTTTTGGGATACATGCTAATTTCATCAATCTAACATTTATGGGGTTGATGACACTTTTTGTTTGTTGATAGTGAGGGAGTATTACTCATCTATGGTGAATTATGTCATAGGTAGTCATGTGCGTGGAGGAATAGAGACATGTGGTTATCTATGAGACGACTTGTTGTCGGAAAATGATGGATGGTTGAATGGTTGGGTATGTTTGAGTATAATAATAATGATATGTTTGTATATGTTTTAGTGATAAAGGATAAAATGAGGTCATTAATGATGATGCTTATGATGATAATAACAGTAATACCAATTATGTATAAGGATGCCCTTTATCTCATCACTTCTGGATTTGATCAGAGAGGCTCAGACGGAGGGGTTCAAAAAGGAAAACTGGAAGAAGGAAAGATTCATTACCGACAGTCAAGGGCTTTTGACCCAATGCGGCCGAGTTTGGATTCCGATTTTCGGGGGAAGTCCGTTAGACAATATTAGAGGAGGCACACAAGTCTAAGTTATCGATCCATCCTAGAGCCACCAAGATATATCGATACATGAGGCTCAGTTATTGTTGGCCCTTCATGAAGTGGGAGATAATATGGTTTGCCGAGAGGGGCATGACATGTAGGAAGGTCAATGCTGAGCAATAGAAACCACACGGTAAGTTGCAGCCTTTAGAGGTCTCTCTGTGGTCTATAAGAGGTCCAAGGGTGAGTTAATGACTTTAAATATCGGTGAAACCCTAAATTTTAGGGTTTTGGAGACTGGGCTAGTACGCCCGACGTACCACATGTGGGCCCAACGTACTGGCATGGACTCCCCGAACCGGACTTTTCACGAGTACGCTGCGTGTACCCCCTTCTTACGCCCAACGTACAACTGAATTGTGGAAGTTTAAACAACAAGGGACCAAATAAAAAAACTTCAATTAGGTTAAGGGTTAAGATAGAAATACATGATAATCAGATGTTACAATTCTCCCCCACTAGAATCAAACTTTGCCCTTGAAGTCATCCTTGGAAAACATATCAGGATAATGCTCGTGCATCTCAGACTCGGCCTCCCACGTCCATTCTAAGCCTTTCCAGTGTTGCCCCTGAATTTTGACCAAGATCACTATCTTGTTCCTCAAGGTATTCACTCTCCGATCCAGAATTACAACGGGCTTCTCAACGTAGTTCAAACGTTCATCGAACTGAATGTCCTCCAAAGGGACCACAACTGTCTCGCCAGCTATACACTTCCACAGCTAGGAAACATGGAAGGTATCAAAAATATGTCTCAACTCCTCCGGTAGCTGCAACCGGTAAGCCACTTTTCCCACACGGGCAAAAACTCGGAAATGGCCAATAAACCTGGGGCTCGACTTGCCCTGCTTCCTGAAGCGGATAACACCCTTCCAGGGTGACACTTTCTGACGCACCAAATCCCCCACCTGAAACTCTAGCTCAGAGCGTTGCCGATCCGCATAACTCTTCTGTCGGCCCTGGACCGTCAACAATATCTGTCTAACATGTTGAATAAGCTCGGTTGTCTTGAGCACTACTTATGTGCTCCCCATAACCCTCTGTCCAACCTTCTGTGCTCCCCATACATAAGCTCAAGGGGGGGGGGGGCATGTCAATACTAGCATGATGGCTGTTGTTATAAGAAAACTCAGCCAACGGGATATAGGAGTCCCAACTCCCACCAAAGTCAATGATACAGGCATGCAACATATCCTCGAGCGTTTGTATAATCCCTTCGCTCTGCCCGTCCGTATGAGGATGATATCAGTACTGAAGTGTAGCTGGGTACCTAACTCCTCATGAAACCTCTTCCAGAACTTGGAAGTAAAACGAACATCCCGGTCCGACACAATCAAAAGTTAACACCCCATGCCGAGCCGCCACCTCTCGAACATAAATCTCAGCCAACTTCTCTGTAGAAGAGCTCTCACTAATGGCTAGAAAGTGAGCACTCTGTGTCAGATGATCCACTATCATCCAGATAACATCAACACCCCTCGCAGTCCTCGACAACTTCGTAACAAAATCCATGGTGATCTACTCCCACAAGACCAATCATGAAAAACTCCTCATATAAGGTTAATTTGAAATAGTTTTCAAATAAAATATTTTAAAATAATCTTTGAGAAATGCAAAGTCCCAAAACAAAATAGTTTTCAAACGAAAATAATAGTTCAAAACATATATTATTTAGTAAAATAAAAGCCTAAATTTCTAAGCTAAAATATATCGATCTCTAAGTATGACTATCTTCTCCCTCTATCAAAACACTGTTTCTCTGGTTACTCGCTTAAGTACATATCAAAATATTACGATATAATTGGAAAGCCTAATGAGTCACAAATATCAAATAAAAATATATAAATGAACACAATTTCTATATTTGATAAGTAACCCTTCAAATCAACACAATTTAACATAACACTTTGGAACACAAATTAGGTAAAAATTGCTTTATACACTAAATATGGTAATATAAGTATGAAACATTTAAACCACAATGCAATGCATGAAAGAGAGACTCCAACCCAAGTCAAACCTTACTCGTAAACTTCTGTCTTCTTTCTCTTCGAGGGGTTCCCTAAACTCCTTAACAAAATGATGTCAAATATAGAAAGTGTATGATATTAACACAAAACATATTAACACAACAAATTTCAACTTCAAATACTAGGTAACATGTGAACCATCATACATATATCACACGAAAGACTTACAAGTCAAAATATCTAGACCACACTAGTCTCCTATTAAACTCATGGATATGCATCATTTATAATGTATTTAAAACAATTGTAGATACTTTAATCCTATTGCAAAATTTATGAGAAAAAAGGGCAGATATGCCATTTTATTAAATACATTATCTTGTTTTTGTGATTTTCCGTGATTTCAAAGACCATAAATATGTAGTTCTTCAATACAATCCATATAAATTAGTTCTTTTGGAAACAAGATCGCATTGATTGACTGGCCTCAATTCCCGATGTCTATTGGAAAGGTTGACTGGATCAGAGAACTGCCTAGTAAAGTTACAGGTTTCGTCTGGAGAGCAATGCAAGACCGTATCCCATCTCTAATGGCTTTATCTAGGAGAGGAATCAATGCAGGATCCACAATATGTGGCTACTGTTCTGAAGCTGAAGAGGACTTATACCACATTCTCATCTCCTGTCCGTATGCAAAAGACGTTTGGGATCGGACCTACAGTTGGTGCAGTATTCCTAAGCACCAATGCAAAACAGTCGGCGAGGTGATCGAGTTAGCAAACCCATGGGGGAACTGTCGCATCAGGAGGAACAACTTCATCAGCATTGTTTATGGGACACTATGGTGGATATGAAAAGCAAGGTGTGATAGAGTTTTCAAAGGTAACCATATCCCATCAGCTAAAGTAGTGGAGATCATCAAGTCACAGGTCTTTACCTGGGTAAAATATAGGAGATTGAAATGTTCAATTAAATGGGTCGAATGGGTTAATTGCCCTTTGTTATGCTTGTAAAACTTAAACATGTACCTGTTTTCTTGTGTTATTGCTATGACCGTCTAGCTCCTTGTTAGGCGGGTAGCAGGTTTCTAATTAATATATTTATTTGCCGGTTCCAAAAAAAAAACCACATGGATACATTTTCCAATTAACTCTGAGGAATAAAAGGCTAAGGGGGTGTTTGACTTAGCTTTTCACAGCCCAAAAGTCCTTTTTGGAAAAGTTACAAAAAGTCATGTTTTCCTGACTTTTCCAAAAAGTTCATTTTCCTTGTATTAAAACTCCAAAAGCAGCTTCTAAAACTAGTTTTGCCAAACATCTTTTGCTTTTTTTCTTTTCCAAAAAAGACTTTTGGCTGTGAAAAGCTAAACCAATCATCCACTAAATAAATATTCCAAAGGAATGGGAGTCCCCACCAAATTAAAATAAATGACAAAAAACGAAAAAAATTCAAAAACTGCACTAAGCGCAAGTTAGCTCCTCTCCATATTTTACGGTCACAGACATTTCTGATTTCTCGTTTCCTTCGCGACCAATTCACAGCTAGTTCAAAATTCAAACCCCCTTCTCTCTCTAGATTTTCTCTCTCCACAATCCGATCCCGATTCTTCATCTCGAATTCGTATACGCTAAGAGGGAGAGCTTGGCGTCTCTGCAGGGATCTGATTTCATCTAGTAGGGTTTTTGACTTTCTTGATTTGGTTTCGAAAGAAGTCTACCGCTACTATCATCAGCAGTTATGGCAACCATGGAGAGCTTGATTGGTTTAGTAAATCGTATACAGAGAGCTTGTACGGCTCTCGGTGACTACGGCGGCGGAGATTCCACTTTCTCTTCTCTTTGGGATGCCCTTCCCTCCGTTGCAGTTGTCGGTGGTCAAGTATGTTTTATCTTCGATCTCCTTCACCTTTTATGCAAATTTGAATTTATAGATAATTAAGTGTGTTTAAGCCTGTTCTGATTTTGTTTGCGAGACGGCAGATTAAGATCGTCCTACCATGTTATTTGTTCGATCCGCTTATATTTCTGATGAAACGCGGTTTTACAACATTGTTTTCAGCAAGAGGGGAAAAATAGCCTTCTAGGTGTTCTAGGTGTCGGGTAAGAGGTGTAGCGATTGGTTGTCTAGATCTCTTCTATTTAGGCCGGCGATTGGATTGCAGTGATAAATAGAATTCATCTGGATATGCGTTTTGTGTGTGAGAGAGCACATAGCTCGGCAACATTTGTGAATAAATGTTATTAGATTGTTTACTGGCTTTGTTTGAAAGCATGGAAGTCTTTACTTTGAACTGGAATTAAAACTCATGTTGTTAAGATCTAAAGATCTCAAATTGAAGTTTTTCAAAACATAATTTTGCTTTCCCTATAAAGTATTCGTTAGAGTTTTGAAGTTTTTTGAGAGGAATCACCAATGAATTTAGGTTGGAGTGGGAGAGAACGCCAAAATGGATATGAAACTTTCAGATTTCTGGTTTTTGGTTTCTGTAGAAAGCAGGAGACAGTTGTTTGACAATTATCCTTCTTGTTTCTTTCCATGTAGAGTACTTCATGCCTTCATATTTTGGTCAAAGTTGAAGCATCCTTTAAGTCTTTAAGTTGTATTTGTTTGCAGTTCAAATTGTTTATCTATCTATTTACAGTTTATTTATGTAGTTCTACTTCTTCTATCTCTAATATTTATGCTTTGCTTGTTTGTAACCTGTAATTGACCTGATCACAGAGTTCTGGAAAGTCTTCAGTGTTGGAGAGCATTGTTGGGAGGGATTTTCTTCCTAGAGGATCTGGTTAGTTGTTTATTTCTTATTATGTTAAGCTCTATGATTATATTTTTTCCTTCATTGGCCCCTTTAATGTCTTAATCAATAATGCATGTCTATATCAGGAATTGTCACAAGGCGTCCCTTGGTATTGCAGCTACATAAGACAGAAGGAAGGCAGGAAGAGTATGCTGAGTTTGGACATTTGCCTCGCAGGCGTTTCACTGATTTTGGTATGTGAAATGACTTTATCTGATTTTTTACATTTTTTAAACAAGTTTAATTACTTCGTAGTGTACTTCAACGCCCATTTAAGCTTTGTGGTGCATTATTGTAAGACTCTAATGTTCACTTCTAATTTTTAAACCTTTCTACAGCATTGGTACGCAAAGAAATTGCAGATGAAACAGATAGAATAACGGGGAAATCAAAACAAATCTCTCCAATTCCAATCCATCTCAGTATATACTCACCGCATGGTATGTCTTCTTGATGTACAACATATAATCTTGTGCTATTCTGTTTTAAATAAATATCATGACCTGGTTTTCCCATGTTTAGTTATTTATGGGTTAAATGCATGAAATAGCAATGTACTTTTGTCGGTTTCTTTATTGTAGCCTCCTATTTTTATTTTTTCGTATTATAAAATTGTACTTTGAAAAATCTACTCGATTGTAGCAATGTCATAATTTTCATTGCTATATTGGGCAAGTTTTTCGAAGTGTAATGTCCTAATAAGAAAAAAAAAATTAAACAAGAATGCTAGAATTGGGTGAATTTTCAAAAAATAACGGCTATATAAACTTGTAATAGAAAGAAATAAAAGTAGGATGATATGATACACAAATATATTAAAGTACATTGCTATTTCTAACATTTGGCTCTGTAGTTGTAGATGTCTGTTGTGATACTGATGCCTGAGCATGTTTTTCTTATCCAGTTGTCAACTTAACATTGATTGATTTACCTGGATTGACAAAAATTGCTGTTGGTATATTCTCCTACCTTTCCTCTTTGTTTTTGGATTCATTTGTTGGCATGAGATTCATCTAATGTTAAATGTCGTATTTCTTTGCAGAGGGACAATCTGAAAATATTGTCGAAGACATTGAAAACATGGTGCGGCTTTACGTTGAGAAGGTAATGTTAATTTTTCTTTTACTTTTGTTACTGAACTTTGACAAGTATTATTGGTTCTCTTCTCTATGTGTGTATGTATGTATGTATGTATGTGCGTGCTTATTTGAGTAAAATGAAATTATTTTTGCTCTTTCTCAGTCACATGAAGCCATAGATAGATGGTAACTGTGAGATTAGATAAACTCTGATATTTAAGAAAGAAGTTAGCTATCCATAGTTAATCTAATGCTAGATATGTTTCATTGTTTACAGCCGAACTCAATCATTTTAGCAATATCTCCTGCCAATCAAGATATTGCCACGTCAGATGCCATTAAACTTGCTAAGGAGGTGGATCCTACAGGTACCCTTACTTTACCATTATAACATATGTTGTCTTTCATATTATTGTTTTGTGGTGCTATTTGATCTTTATACATTTCTCGACTTGACTAGGTGAACGGACATTTGGAGTGCTGACAAAGCTTGATCTCATGGACAAAGGAACTAATGCTTTGGATGTAAGATCCCATCTTCTCTCTTTCTCTTCACGGATTCCAACGGAATTGGAATTCAAGATTGAATCCTTTAGATTTCATGACTCGTCAAGGAGTTCACTATTCCGTGGGGGGTGGAAGGAATTCAATTCCATTCCTTCCCTTATTTGTTAAAAGAGCAGAATACCCCCATTTATTAGTTGTTTCACACTTTCACTTCTTCCGATTCTGATGTAATGCTATTCTTTTTTATAGGTTCTTGAAGGCAGAGCTTATCGTCTTCAACATCCATGGGTGGGGATTGTGAATAGATCCCAAGCTGATATCAACAAAAATACTGATATGATGTATGCAAGGAGAAGGGAGAGGGAGTATTTTGCTACAAGTCCTGACTATGGACATTTGGCCAATAAAATGGGTTCAGAATATTTGGCAAAACTTCTCTCACAGGTACGTTCTGTCCATTTTTTTGTGCATGCTACTCCCTAAGGCCTATACCTCACTGACTTTTAGCATATAGTTATTGCCATTAGAAGATGTTTTTTCAAGGTGTATGTACACTTGTTGCTGGAAAAGAGGGTGCTTAAATACTCTTATTTTTTGTGCTAAATGCAAAATGTAACAACATACTTTCATTTATTATATCATCTTAGTTTTTGTTCTTACTATTAGAACGATATGCTTTCAATTTTTCGATTAATAAGACATTGTACTTGAAGACTCTACCCAATTATAAGATTGTACTATTAATCTTTTTGTCATCAACACATTGTACTTTGAAGTTTCTACCCAATTATAACAGTGAAAACTGCTTTGTATTTGGACGACATTATAATTGAACTGATTTTCAAATACAATGCTGTAATAGGAAAAAAATGATAGTAGAATGCTATAATAAACAAATATATGTAAGCACATTGCTATGGTAATATAAGTGCTGTTTGATTGGATAAAATGGTGTCGGGGTAAGTTAAATGACTTTTTAAAATATTTGAAAAAATCACGGTGAATTTAGAGAAGTGGAAAGAATCAGTAAACGAGGGCAAATTTGTAAAAAATGGGGAACGCCTCACTTCCATGAGTGTTTGCATCAATTAAGACAGAAACATCATACAAGTCTTTTTCTCTTATGATACTTGATGCTTCTTTTGTTTTTCACAATAAATTTCACATGAAAAAGGATGGTTTTGTTTATGCAGCATTTGGAAACTGTTATCAGACAAAAAATACCAGGCATCACGTCCTTGATAAACAAAGGTATCGATGAGATGGAGGCAGAGTTGGATCGTCTTGGGAGGCCAATTGCTGTTGATGCAGGGGTTAGCAGCTTTTCTAATTCCATCTATACTACAATTTGTAATAATAAATGTCTCACTAACTAGTAACTGCTCTCTCTTTCAGGCTCAATTGTACACCATCTTGGAACTATGCCGTGCTTTTGACAAAATATTCAAGGAGCATCTTGATGGAGGGTAAGCATTAAGTGAAAAAAACAAAGACTCAGATCAAGTGAAAAAGAAAGAGCAGCTTAATTTATGTAATTTGGCATTTGGTTATTTTTGAAGTTTGTAATTGTATTGTGTCAGGCGTCCTGGAGGTGACCGAATATATGGAGTGTTTGACAACCAGCTTCCTGCTGCTTTGAGGAAACTTCCATTCGATAGGCATCTTTCTTTACAGAATGTGAGGAAAATTGTCTCAGAAGCTGATGGTTACCAGCCACATTTGATTGCTCCTGAACAAGGTTACAGACGTCTTATTGAGGGCTCATTGAATTATTTCAGGGGACCCGCTGAAGCTTCTGTTGATGCCGTAAGTCAACTCCTACAATCACTTTCATTTTGACATCGGTATACATGACTTACGTGGAGATTTTTATTTATTATTTTAGGTGCATTTTGTCCTAAAAGAACTTGTCAGGAAGTCAATTGGAGAAACCGAGGTTAGATTCAACAAACATAATCGTCTTTTATGGCCTTTCTTAGGTTGTGATGTGTTTGGTGTGTGCATCGGACTGGGACTAAGACCGATGTCAATAGGACAGGAATTGCAATTCTTTTTTGTCCCAATGAGAAAGGTCGGGCATGGACGCTTTCTTGATGTTTTTTCTGTGTAAATGCCCTTATCATTCTCATCATCTGTAGAAGGCTACTTGTGTCACGACTCTTCCTGTTTAACAAACACAGGCTGCATTTGTTACACGGAAGGGGAATCGAACAAAATTTCTAGGGATATTATCGATGGTGAAAAATATAAGGGCATTTATGTCTTTTTACACAGACAAAAAGATCGTCCATTCCCCGCCTTTTTGATTGGGACAAAAAAATTTGCAATTCTTGTCCCATTGACATCAATCAGTCTAAGTCCCAATCCAATGGATTCTGTTCAGTGTAACAGATGGGGCCCAGTAGAATTCAATTCATAGCATCATTTATGTTTAAATGGTATTTAATTGTTTGAGGATAACAGGAATTGAGGCGGTTCCCAACTCTACAATCTACTCTTGCTGCTGCTGCTGGAGAAGCATTAGAAAAATTCCGCGATGAAAGTAAAAAAACAGTCATACGATTAGTGGACATGGAGTCTTCATATTTGACCGTTGATTTCTTCCGGAAACTTCCACAGGAAGTTGAGAAATTAGGGCAAGGGGGCCCACCCCCGCCTTCAGACCGCAGAGCCTCATCTGCTGACCGCAAGAACCCGCCACCTCCACCGCCTTCAGATCGTGGAAATGCAGTTGACCCGCTAGGTGACCGTTATGCAGATGCACATTTTAGAAGGATAGGATCAAACGTATCGTCTTATATTGGTATGGTGTCTGATACGATTAAGAGCACAATTCCCAAGGCGGTTGTCTATTGTCAAGTTAAAGAAGCTAAACAAAATCTACTCAACTACTTCTACACGCAAATTGGGAAAAAGGAGGTAGTTTCCTTAAATACCCTTTGTATATTATCTCTCTTATATCTTATATATGAAGGTGTAAAATGTTTATTATTTTCAGGGTAAACAACTGGCAGAGTTACTAGATGAGGATCCAAGTTTGATGTCCAAGAGACAAGACATTGCAAAACAACTTCAGTTATACAAATCAGCAAGGGACGAGATCGATTCTGTATCATGGGTGCGCTGAATCTGATTGATTACCAGCCTCTTTCTGGTGGACAGACATTTGTCATTTTTTTGTTGCTCATTGTTTCACTTCACGCTTTATTCTTGATTTTTAATATGGATATGCTTGCTACATATAGCAGTTGACTTTTCGACCAAAGAATATGTGTTGTACATCTATAGAGATCAACGTATTATTTCATGAATTGTTTGTTGGGTGATATTTATGTCATGTATTTGTTATATCGGTAAATTAGGCTCAAACCTAGGTCAAAATTTTACAGCAAAACACTTGTCCTTTATGTAACACTTCTGAATTGGTTTTGATGAATCAAAAGCCGTATAACTGTTAGAAAGGCCAATGAAATTGCTATTCTCAGAACCATTAGGCGTTTGGAATTATTCAAAAACTAAATGTATTAATGCCAAGTGGTTATGTATTTAGAGTGTAGGCATGGGTTACTAATGTTGAAGGGAGTATTTTAATTTTCCAATACTGTTTGACACATCACTGCCCTCATCAGTTATTATTATTCTTTTATTTCCACTATTTAAACCCATAACACATGAAACCATTTTTTTTCTTTTTATTAATTTTAAAGTTTAAGTTTACTAATTTAAATTTATAAAAATTTAAATCTAAACTAAACATAACATTTAATGATATTAAAAACAGGTAAATTAAATCATAATATGACAATTTCGAAAGTAAAGGTACAATAAAAATAAACCAATTATCCAAAGATAATATGTAGAATTGCTCAATATAATCACAAAAGAGTTAAACGAATGAAGGTTACGCAACTCATGGAGTATTTTTGGGTCCACTTCTTCAAACCAGAGATATCACAACATCCTCATCTTGCAGTATTATATTGTGTAGTATAATGCAAGCGTACATTATACCCCATGTTTTGTTCGATGACATTGACCGTGCCAAATGTTGTATTATGCTCCAATATGATTTGAGGGCCCCAAAAGCACTTCAGATGTCCTTGATTGCTGATTCTTGTGCCGCCTTGAACCTTTTCTTTTTATTAGTAATGATGTGGAAAAATGATTTCACAAATACCGTCCAACTTGGATATATCTCATTCTCAAGATATGATCCATGTGTTGTATTCTTTAATTGCACGTTCGATGTGAATAAGACACCAAAAATGTCTTTGAGAATGCTTGTATTACTCAAACATTCGTTCCAATGAACCAATAGTTTAATCACTTATGTACAAAAAATATGGAATCCTGAATGATTCTTGAGGTGAAAGTTCATGTACTAGTTTCAATGTATCACCATAACTTATCAAAATGTCTTTTCTTAAGATTTCTTTTTCTTTGTTATTATTATTTTTTTCAAAATTCCAAAATCAAAAGCTAAAGCTCTAACACAATTTAATACCTTCTCAAACTCATGCTCTCGCCAATCTTTGGATTTCCACTACTTAAGCTATAAAAAACTTATTACTTTAGGCACATTAGTTTTCCACGAACTTTTATTCAATAAAACATTTTCAAAAGATCAACCTTTTGAAAAAAATTATTTTTAAATTAATTAATTTATCATTTATCTATCTTAAATGTTTTATAAACCCTCTTATATAATTTATCATATTTGAAAACATGTCATATTTTTGGAAATATAAAAGCCGATATGTAACGCCCGATTCTTGGTACGTATTTAATAAGAAATTATTCATATTTTCTAAGGATCTCGACGAGTTGGAGGCCCCAAACTCGTCGAGTAGGAATTGGATATGTTGGACGCGGGACTTGAAGCCTACTCGACGAGTCGAGGAGCCTCGACTCGACGAGTAGGCCTGCCAAAGTGAAACCCTAATTTCCAGTGTTTGCACCCTATTTAAACACCTTAACACCCCCATTGTGGCCTCCCTCATCGCCTCCCTTAGTCCAGAAAACCCTAATTCAAAAACTAAACCCATTTTGAGTGTTCCTGAGCCATTTTTGTGTGTTCTTGGTGGTTTTGAAGCTTGAGAAGGAAGAAGAAGCTTGAGAGTTCAAGAGGAAGCAAGTAGATCAAGAGGTTGTGTTTCATTTCCAGCTCATTTGAGGTATAAAGTTTATACCTTGACCATTCATCTATTAGATTTCTTCTTGGAGTAGTTTAGGGCTTTAAGGAGCCATTTTTTGAACCATTCATGGGTGCAAGCATGTTTTGGGGTTATGACTTCAGATCCAGGGTCCTTGAGGGACTCTATGGCATAAAGTGTTGGGTTTTGAGCATTCTAACACTCCTAAGGTGTACATGCAACCCTAAATACCTTGGATCTATGTTTTCTCTGTTATACATGCAAATATTAATTATCCAAGGTATTACCCTAACTAGCATACAATCATATGTACTAGGATAGCAAAAACTAGATAGAATACATACCTCTTTTTTGTAGCTTGATTCCATGGAGCTTAAGAGCCTAGTGCTTCAAGTGTTACACCTCAAATGGTTCACACAACATCACCAACATGTGACATCCCCATTTTTACGGCCAGAAAAGACCGATGTTTATTTATGCTTAATAAAATCAGAGTACCTCTTTTAATAAAAATGTTGCAGAATTTGTCCCCAGAAAAACATGATAATTAGGTTATCAAAGCATTTCCGAAGAAATGTATTTTTATTCATTTTAAAACATTTGGGATGTCTTCGTCAATATAGAAACATAAACATAAACAGAACTTACATTCATTTACACTAGTGATCTACATCTGTTTAATCTCTCAGTGTAATGTAACTTCGTATCGACACCTGTGATACAAATAAGCTTGAGTGAGTCAGGTTGGGAAACCTCGTGAGTACATAGGGTTTTTAACCCACAATAATATAATTATTATTTTTAAACATCTAACAACCAACCCAATTACCCATCCCCATTATCTCCTTTACTCTTAAGGATCTACCCTAAGAATCAACTATTCCTCGTTCATTCATTCCTAAGGATTATCCTAAAGAATAGGTACGAGGTCCATCATTGTCAATGACCCAGCTGTCAAGCACAGCTGCTAATATTATCATTTAGGCGCAGCTGGCAGAATTGTGACATTCTCTATGAGGCGCAACTGCCGGTATTGTCCTTTAGGCGCAACTGCCATGGTTATGATGTTCTCTATTAGGCGCAGCTGCCGATACTATCCTTAGAGCACAGCTGCTAGGATGTTTAGAGTACATCGTAGATTATAAACATCTACAGGTTGTGGCGCAGTTGCCAATGCTCATGTATAGGGTACTAAGTCCATTGCTGCCAATGTTCACCTATAGGGCACTATGTCCATACTGCTAATGTTCCT